GTGCTGAGCCATCAACCCTTATGACATTGGGTAGGACAGAAATCGCACCGCCATAAGAATGTGTCCTAATGCTGGGTCCTGGCATTATGTGGGGAATAGGAGAGGGACAAGACCCACCAGAAGCCAGTCTGTGAAAAATCCTTTTAGATCACAAACAAAACTTGACAATCTTACACTCTTCCACCTAAGGGACTGAGCAACTTCGCTGAAGATAACAGTATGTAATTTAGCAACCATTGTAAATTTCTATCATTTTGTCTTAAGGTCATGTATTATTTTTGTTGTTGTTGTGTGGTTTTGATTTTGTCCTCATTGTTGTTTTTTAATTTTTAAAATTTAAAAAAAAAGTGAAACTTGACAGGCGTTGTCTCAAGCTTAACAACAATCTTCCAACTTTGCCTAACCTCACCAATAATGGGTACAAAGTAGGAAGAGTCTCTTCTAAACTGTAAGTGGTATAAAATATTTGTTTCTCAGCCAGGTGACCAAGGTCACCATCATCAGTAGAAGGTCATAATGAGAGTTTGTGCCGTTGGTTTTGCTCCCCAGGTCCCATAACCCAGCTTAACTATCAGGAAAACATCTGTCAAACTGAAGTTGAGTGATAACTGCACAGTACCCGACTATTCAACTGACAGCTGCCAAGGTCATCAAAAAACAAAGACAGTCTGAGAAACCATCATGGTGCAGAGGAGGGAAGGAGACACGAAGCCCCTGTAGTGAAGGTTTGGTCCCCAGCCTGCAGTGCTGTGGGGAGGGGGTGGAGCCTGTGAGAGGTGGGGTCTGGTGGGAGGTTAGGAGCCTGGGCCTGCGCCCTTGATGGGGTTATCAGGATGCCAACTCCTTCCTCTCTCTCTCTCTTTCACTTCCTGGACACCTGGTGAGGAATTTCATTGCTTCATGCTTCCACTACTTCCACCATGGCACATTACTTCTTTTTAAATTGATTTTCTCGGCTATTTTTACACAGTAATGGAAAACTGACTAATGTATGATGCAGATCAGATATTTATTTTATGAGCCCTAATTTTGTGACCATCATTTGCTTAAAACAAGCAAACAAAAAATCCCCCAAAACCAGATTGACACAGAGGCTCAAGAAAACAGTATTTATTTAAGAAACCAAGAATTGCAGTTCTGTACTCTGAATCAGAAATGTCCTAAACTGTATCCTGTAAAAAGTCTTTTTTAAAAAAAAAATAGGTGATTTCCACAGTAGCTGTTTCTAGAGGCAGTTCATTGGCTGGGCAGAAATCCCAAATCATAAACCTGCTCTGATTGGTTAGATACCTGGGATATTTCCAACTGAGAGATGTGGAAGGCCAGGGATATTGATTTTAATTGCTGATCTACTATCTATTGGAACATTCTGTGGTTGTGAATGCAATCCTCTGTCTCCTGACTCTACTTTATAAAGTCACAATCTTGTTTACTTCATGTTCTTCCACATCATCGTTGCACTAGTTGAGACAGACACACAGAAGTGTGAACCACACCACCAGGGAACTTTCAATGAAACATTTGAGAATGCGCTAGGGAGTGCTGTGTCTTCCTTTAAAGAGGAGCAGTGTGCATCAGCTGTCCACAAAAGGCAACAAGGCAAGGATGTCCAAGATGGCTGCCTTAGCTCCATCACTTTTAAAGGTGTTGAGAAGTTCTGAGGGAATGTTCTTTGAATACCAAGAAGCTCCCAACAAATTTGAGTCTATGAAGAACTTTCCACCAAACCTTCAGTTTTAAAATTAGTCAAGGAGAAGATGATCTTAAATGTCCCAGAGGCACAGAGCCGCTGACCAAATGGAAGAAGAATACAAATGGTCTGAGAACATTTGTGTGATTTTTCACAAAACATAGAGAAGAAAAAGAGATTTTGCTTACAATAGCCACAAAAATATAAAATATTATGAAGAAAGGAGCACATGGAATCTAAAACCAGAAATCTATAAACTCTACTGAATGACTATTTAAAAACCCACTTCATTATACAGAAAGAATGAATGTGGAAAGTTTCACACTATAAATGTGTTTAGGCATATCAAACTAACCATACAAGTTTGGTCTCTAGTCCAATAGTTATTTTTGGAATTTGACCATGCTTTTAAAGTTAATTTTGCAAAATGTTTGAAAGCGGTCCATTTTAAAAAAAAAAGAATAGGGAAGAAGGGCATTTATTTTGCCAGGAACTAAAATATAAATAGAATGATACTATCTCAGAAACAGAGAGATAAAGAACATAATAAAAAGCATAGGACACAGCTTTAAGTGTGTACGTATATGTAAGTAATCAGGATATGAGAATGACAGTGTTTCAGTGAAGTGGGGAAGAATGAACTACTCAATACAAGATTTTGGAATAGCTGTCTAAACATTTGGAAAAAATCAAGCCAGATTCCCTCTCCTAACATCCATGGTAATGACTTGCATATGGTTTATATATTTTTAAGAAACATAAAAGTACCGGAAGGAAGAAGAGGTAAAATTTTATGTAAACTTGTAATAAGAAAAATTTGCTAAGTGTAATCCCAAAGGAAAAATCAATAAAGTAACATACTGGAAAAAAGATTATAAAGAGATTTTACCTTTAAATTTGGAAAATATAAACAAAAACATGAAAGGTAAATTACATCTGAGAAATAGCTGTGACACATATTGCAGACAGAGGGATTTTTCATAAAATACAAAAAAATCTGACAGATAATAAGAAAAAGAAAAATAGCCCAGCATAAAACAAATGGGGATATAATAAGAACAAAATAGTCTTATAATATGTACAAATAGCCAATTGATGTGTGAAGAGAATTGTTCAAGCTCATTAGTCAATAGAATGACTAATGACACAAAGATAAATCACGTTTTGCCTAATACATGGGTAGAGTGGATATGGGGAAATCAGCTCTTCTCTAAGAAATATAAGCTGATATGTCATTCCCAAAAGACAATTTGGCAGTATATCTTCAAAAGCTTACAAAGATGCATGTTCTTTGACGAGGAATTTCTTTTTGCAGGAGTCATCCTAAGACACAGTAGCATAAAAACACAAAGTAATTGGATTAAGCACATGTTTAGGCATCAGTGAAGCAAGGGAACCAGTGTTCTTAAAAATATTACATTTTTGGTCTTAAGAATTGGAGCACTCATCTCAAATAAACCAGGATGTTGTGGAACTTTTTTAAGGTTTATTATTGTTTTTATTTGTTCCGGTGACTTAGACAAGGAAATAGGGTGACTAAGATACCATGATCACTTCATGACCTGAAGGTTATTATCTTCAGGTCTTGATTCATGTTCTGCAGAAGGATGTTCAACCTACTGGGAATACTAGAGCAATGAAAAATTAGGGGGAAAAAAACAATGCATGCAATAATGAAGGATTTAGTTAGAATGTATGACAGTCTTAGAACGTTAGGAGCCACTAAAAGTTATAAATGCAAATTTATATTTGACATTGTATGATAGTCACAATTTATCAAGTAAAAACTGAAGTTCAATAACAATAATCAGATAAAATCCTGTTTTTTAGTTAAAATATAGAAGTGTGTTGTTGCACACATAGAAAAGAACCCCCAAATAAATACCAGAATATGTATAATGTTTGGCTGTGAGGGGAAGGGAGCAGAGATGATGGGTGAGTTTTTTAAAAACATAATTTTCTATGTTTTCTAAATTTTCTACCTTGCAACTGAATTACTTCTATGTAGAAAAGATGGAAATTTTTGGCTCTGCCTAGTTTTAATAGTTTCTAAAGTAAGGCAGGGTATAAATTAATTCATTAAAGAAAAATAGAGCAGTGGGATCCATATATGTACCTGATCCCGTCTCCAAATAATCGGGGAGCACTGACCATGCCTTATATTTGGTGGAGTGTCATAGATTCTACGATTCATTGTCCTGTTTGCTTTCTTGGCTACCCTGAAGATGGACCCATGCCTCGCTAAAGAGAAAGCCAAATCACAGAGAGGCCAGGGGATCCGGTGTCACAGAGAAGGCCTGTGTCCATGTGGGGCCAGGATCTGGGCCTTTTGAGCTGCTGCTTTCTGCACACCCTGTGCCCCATGGCTGAAATGTGAGAGCTACTTGGTGAACATGCGATGGTGTCTGGTCTGGTCACCTTCTTTGGTGTGGAGTCCCGTGCTTTCCTCTGCTTCCTTTACTGCTTTACAGAAGCCCTCCCATTCACAATTTTGCAAAAATTATTTTTATAGTGCATGTCTGCAGTATGTAACAATTCCTCATAGGGAGTTGGTATATATACGTAGCACATCCTAATGCTTCTTTCATCCCTTTCCTTCCCCTCTCCCTCTCCCTCTCCCTCCATCTCTTGGTTCCCTTCCTGTTTGCAAAAGATCTTTCTCCATATTTCCTATTATCTATCTTTCCTTTTGCTCTTCAAATTACTTATATTTTGGATTTCTTATAGAAGAGAAACTTGGAGTATTTAAGCCTGTATGTCTGATTTATTTCACTAAACATTATAGCCTCAAAGTGCACCCATTTTCCCACAAATGACTTGTTTATCCTTCTTTACTGTAGAGTAGTAATCCACTATGTGTAAATACCACATTTTCTTTACTCATTTATCTGTTAATGGACATTAAAGCTGCTTCCAAGATTTAGCTATTATGACTTGTTCTGCTGTAAACATAGGTATGCATGTATCACTGAAATATGATTTCTGTAACACTTTTGGGAAGCTATTTAGAAGGGGAATAGCTGGGTTGAAGGGAATTTCTAGTTTTAGTTTTCTGAGGAATCTTCATACTGATTTCCACAGTGGTTGTACTAGTTTACATTGCTATTATCAGTGCAGAGGAGTTCCTTTTACCCTGCAGCCTCACCAGCTTTTATTGTTGTGTGACTGCTTGATGATTGCCATTCTAATTTCACTCTTTGAGGTTTCAGTTACCTGTGGTGAACTAAGTTCTGAAAATATTAAATGGAACGTTCTAGAAATATAAACACTCATTCATGTTTTAAATAACTCTTACTATAGCATACTGTCATAATTGTTTTGTTTTATCATTGTTCAGAAAACTTTAGGCACATTCTTCCTGTGCTTCATTTATAAATGAAGCACCATCATGGGTCTGAATGGACAGAGAAAACTGTTGATAATCAATGCTCTCTGTGGTCTCATGCATCCACTGGGAGTCTTGGAGGGAGCAGGATGCAGGAGAGGTGGAGATCAGGAGATTAACTCAGATCCACAGGCCACCTTTGCACCAGCAAGCACGATGCTTCTCTGGGGCTTTACTGTCCTCTCAAATGGTCTCACACGCATTGTTCCCAAGCTCCTGGTGGCCTGAGATCACAGTAAGGGAGGTCAGGGCACCCACAACCTTAACATAGCCTCCAGTCTTCCTTTCTCTGGCTCATCCATCATGCTCCTGCCTGAAGGCCCTTCCCCATGGCCTGTTGTCCTCCAACACAACGGCAGGAAGGCCCAAGGATGGTGCCCACGATGGGGGGAAACCACCCGGAGTTCTGGCCATGACATATGAGTTTCTGCAATACACAAGGCAAGGCCCTGAGTTGTTCTCTATCTCAGCCTCTGCCCTTCTGACGTAGGGAGACAAAAACCTCTGTGCAGTACCAAATGAGTTAATAAATGTCAAAGACTCAGAAGACAGGAGGTTCTCAATAAACATCAATTACCGCTTAGACCACTGTCTCTTGATCTGGAAAATGTCAGGGCTGCCAGCACAGCTTTTCCTGCCAGCCAGCTTGGCTGTCTAAGAGCCAAAAGCGTGAGCACAACCCTCCCTCTCCTCACAGAACCAACCCAGATCGCAAACAAAAGGATGGTGCTTCACACACTGTCATTCATGTTCCTGAGAAGTTTTTTTTTTTTTTTTTTAAATCCATTAGTTAGACACTATAAATAAATTAGTATCTTTTGTTTTTCTAGAAAAAATTTGTAGCCTTGTATTCTGGCACATTATATTGTTCTTTTATCCTTGCTTTAAAAAAAAAAATCTTTCAAACTGCTTGCCTTCTATAGAAAAATAAGTAGTACGTCATTGTTGTGGGGACCTTGCAAACTATTCTTGGCTTAAAACAAATTTCATGTAATCTGATAGCTACAGAGCTAATATTGCACCCCCGTTTGACCTCCCTCCACTACTCTAAGAGAATCTTTTTTCGTTTTTTGATTTTTTTTTTTGTTGTTGTTGTTTCGTTGGTTCAGGTCTGTCCAGCTGTAGAGACCTCAAGAGTGAAACCAGCCGGTGACGATGAAATCTGCTTGTGGCTGGCCAGGCTGAGTGTAGCAGGCGGGTGGGGGTGGGGAAGCAGATGGAAGGGCCCCTGGAGGGGTGGGGGTTTATTCTGAGGGTCTCTGAGCTTGGAGCATGTGGAGGTGTAAAAGAACAACTCATGGCAGGAACTGGGGCTGAGGGGAGGAGGTTCATACAAAGAGAAGAGGGGGCTGGGGATTTAGCTCAGCGGCACAGCGCCTGCCTGGCAAGCACGAGGTCGCGAGCTTGATTCTCGGTACCGGAAAAAACCAAAAACCAAAAAACAAAAAAAAAAACTTACATACAAAGAGAAGCTGGAGAGGGAAAGAGCAAGGGCCGTCTGTCTTCTTGTCCTTCCCTGTCTCTGTGCTCCATCTCTTTCTGCACACTGCCCACTCTTCACAGTCAGACCAGGAGCGTGGTGTGGAAGGTCTGTCATCCATGAGACTGGAATGGAAGGAAATCATAAAGTGCAGAGTAGGCATTTCTAATTTTCATATCACATAGTACGTTAGACCCAGCTCTCCATACTACCACTTGGAGGAGAAGGAAAGAGACTTGAAAGGAGATTGGAGAATGCCAGGTGGCAGAATGGCTACTGCTTGGAGGGGGCACCTCAGTGGGCCTCCCTTGCCTGTCCACCCCGCTGCAAGGTATCTGCTGGCATGCAGTGCACATGCTCCACATATGTGGTATCCTCCAGATCCACATTCAGGTGAATCACCTGCCCATGTTGCACACCCGGTTAGTGGTACTCCCCACATCACCCTCCCCAGCTCTCCCTCTACTCACCTTCCTATTCTGAGTGTCTGCTAGGGCTATCTACTCTCACATAAATTGTTTTATTTACTGTGCCCCTGTGCTAATCAGCTTTCTGTTACTATAACAAATATCTGAGATAATCAACTTACCAATAAAAAAGGTTTATTTTGGCTCACAGTCTCAGAGGTTCCAACCCATGACCAATTAGCTCCACTGTTTCGGCCCTGTGGTGAGGCAACAAATCATGACAGGACCACACAGCAAAGCCAAACCATTCACCTCATGGCCAGGAAGCAAAACAAGCAGCAAAATGAGTGCCAGAGAAGTAATAAGTGTGCCAAAATCCCCTTTGTGACATATGCCAGTGACATAAAGACCTCCCACAAGACCACACCTGGTCTAAATGTTCTACCACCTCCCAGTAGCACCACCTTGGACTGTGTCAAAGGCCTTTTCTGCATCTAAGGAGATGATCATGTGGATTTTGTCCTTGCTTCTGTTTATATGATATATTATGTTTATTAATTTGCACATGTTGGACCATCCCTGCATCCGTGGTATGAACCCTGTTTGGTCACAAGGTATGATCTTTTTGATGATTTATTGTGTTCTTTTTGCCAGTATCTTGCTGAGGATTTTTGGATCTATGTTCACTAAACAGGTTGGCCTACAGCTTCCATTTTGTTGGATCCTCGTCTGGTTTCAGTGAGGATCGTGCTAGCTACCAGGAATGACTTTGAGAGTACTACTTCCCTTTCAGTTTTATGAAAGAGTTTGATTAGTATTTGTATTAGATCTTCCCTGAAGTTTTTTGTAGACTTCATTAGGACCTGAGTTTTTCTTAATTGCTAGATTTTAAATTACTCCTTCAATTTCCTTGCCTTTTATTGGGTTATTCAAGGTTTTTTAATTCTCCTGGTTCAGTTTTGGAAATTTGTATGTATCTAGGTATATAACCATTTCTTCTGAATTCTCCATTTTATTGGAGTACAGATTTTTGAAGTAGTTGGTAGTAGTCTTTTGGATTTCAGCAGGGTCCACTATAATTTCACCCTTTTCTTTTCCAATTGCATTGATTTGGGGTTTTCTTCCTTTATTGGTAAGACTGGCTAAGGGTTTTTAATCCTTTGAGAGAGCCAACTCCTCAACTCATTAATGCTTTTATGTTTCAGTTTCAATTTTATTAATTTCTTCCCTGACGTTTAGAATTTTCTTCCTCATACTAGCTTTGGATTTGGATTGTTCTTGTTTTTCTAGGACCTTGAGGTGCATCATTTGGTTATTTATTTGGGCTTGCTCTGGTTGTCTGATGTGAGCATTCACAGCTCTACATTTGTCTCTTAGGGCTGTTTTCACTGTGTTGCATAAATTCTGTTATATTGTACTGAAATTATTTTTCTAAGAACTCTCTAATTTTTGCATTGATTTTGTCTATGGCCCACCAATTATTCAATAGTATATTGTGTAATTTCCACATGTTTGCATAATTCTTGTGGTTTCTTTTGCCATTGATTTATATTTTCATGCTGCTATAATCTGATAATATGCATGGGATAATTTCAATTCTTTTGCACTTACTTAACGTGCTTATTGGCTAGTATATGGTCTATTTTAGAGCAAGTTCCATGTGCTACTGAGAAGAATGGGTGTTCTGTTGTTGATTGGAACACTCTGTAGATATAAATTATGTCTATTTTTTTTTCAAAGTTTGGGTTCAACTGTGATATTTCTTTATTTATTTTTGTCCAGTTGATCTGTCTGTCTGTGACAGTAGGATATTGAGGTCCCTCACTATAGTTATGCTGATGTTCATCTGATCTTTTATGTCTAGTGTTTTATGAAGTAGGGTGTACTGGTCTTTGGTGGATATATGTTTATAACTTTACCTTTTCCTGTTAAATTGTTCCCTTAACTAATATGTAGTGACCTTTGTTGCCTCTCCTGGTCAATTTTGGCTTAAAGTCCACTCTGTCTGAAAAACAGGATAGCTACACCTGCTTTATTTTGGGTTCCTATTGCACAGAATATTGTGTTCCATCCATTGACTTTTAGTTTATGAACTTCTTTTTGGGTTAAATGTGTTTCTTGTATATAGCGTACTGTATTTCTTGACCATTCTGCCAATCTATGCCTTTTGATTGGAAAATTGAGACCTTTCATATTGAGAGTTTTTACTAATAGGTATTGACTCATTCCTGTTATTGCCTTAGTTTTCTGTTGTGGATTCTCTATCTTTCCTTTCTGCTTAACTGCTCACTCTGCCTGGTGTATTTATTGTGTTAGACATTTTCTCCTTGTTAGCTTCATTGTCTTTTTCTAGGACATCCATGAAAAATTTTTAGAGTACTTGTTTGTTAGCTATGATTTTTTTTTTTTGACTGGGGATCAAACTCAAGACCTTGCACTTGCCAGGCAAGCACTGTGCCACTGAGCTATACCCCTGACCAGTCATAAACTTCTTAAGGTGCTCTTTGTCATGAAAATATCTATTTTTGAAAGATAGCTTTGCAGGATGTATCAGTATGGATTAGAAGTTGTTTTCTTTTAGGGCTTGTACCACTTCACTCTAAGCTCTGTTGGCCTTTAAAGTTCGTGTTGAGAAGTCTTCTGTAATTCTAATAGATTTATCTTTAAGTAAATTGTTACTTTAACAGCTTTTAAGATTCTGGCCTTGTATTGGACTTTTGGGATTTGGACTATGATATATCATGGAGAAGCTCTTTTTCTGATTGTGGCTACTTGGGGTTCTATATGTCTCACTTACTGCACTTTCTATATTTGGAAGTTTTCCATTCTTTTCATAAACAGGTTATTTTTTTCATTACTTTTGTACTGCCTTCTGATTTCACCAATTCCAGTTAAGCTTAGATTAATCTTCTTAGGGTCATCTGGCAGTTGTTGAATTCATTTTTCATGACTTTTTGTTTTTTTAAGGTGTTTCTGATTAACTGGTCTCTGATAGCAGCCCTGTGGTCTAGTTCTGACACTCTTTTCTCCCCATCCGTCACTTCTGCTGCCCACACATCCAATAAAATTTCATCTCCTGTATTTCTCTTTGGTCCTTCTCATGGGATCTATTCTTTGCTAAACTGGTATTTCATGTTTTATATCATTTTGCTTAGCTCATCTAGTTTTTTATTAATGTCTTCTTGTAAGCATGCTGATCATTTTGTCTGTTAAGTCAATGATCTGCTTAATTTTACCTTCATTGAGCTCACTGAGCACCTTATCGATCTGCTTTTGATCTCTGTTATCCTTTTGAATAATTCTGCTGTGTGACTTTTGATTTCCTCCACCAGGTGCTCCATGGCTCTAATTTGAAGGAGTTGGGAGGGGTTTTCTTAGACATTTTGTTGCCCTATCTCCTCATGTTTCTATTTTTTAAATTACTTTTGTAGTTTGGTTTGCAGGTTGATTATAGCAGAAGATTTTATCACTAGTATGAAGTCCTCTTTAGTTAATGTCTGCTTTTCTGTTACACACTCTGGATGTGGCTTATAGGCCTTTCTCTTGCTCCCATGATCCAATCATATTGGTTTATTTAGGAGGACAGACTGTAGTATATTTGGCTCGGCACCCAGTTCTTTGAGAATGGGCAACAGTATTATTAATAACACAAAAGCACTCTAGATTTTGGCAAACAGAGAAAAACAATAGCAACAACTGTGCCACCTTGGCAACAGCAATGAAATCAGCAACAGTAATAGTCTCAAAGAAAATCTTGATATTGACATAGCCTAAGAACCAATAATATGCCACCTTTAACCATGGGAAAGAGATCCATAATTATAGCATAATCACTAAGATTATCCAAATATTGATGTATAGTAAATATCTGCTAAATACAACAACCACACCTCCACTAACAATAGAACAGTATTCACCAGTAACAGCAGAGTTAACTGTCTAAAGACTCATAAATATTAATGGTTATATTAGCAAGGATAAAGTGGGCCATGAACTGGAGAATAAAGTACAATTTGAAAAATTAATCAGCAGGAGAGAAGGAGGAGAGAAAAGTGAGATAAAAGAGCCTCCTATAAAGGAGTAAAAGGGAATTAATAGCATTAGATAAAAATAGCAGAAAAGAATAAACAAGAAAAAATGAAAAAGAAAAACAGAAATCAAAAGAAAAGAAAAAAGAAAAAGAATAAAAGGAGAAAAGAATAAACAGAAACAGTAAAAAAGAAACTCTCCCCCCCCCAAAAAAAAATCAATGTAGGAAAAAGAAAGTTGAATCAAAAAAATTCTGTCTTTTAAAAAATTAGTACATGTTTTCAGCACATAGCAATTACATCACTGTGGGAATTAGTACATGTACATAGCACATCTCAGTTCCTCTTTTTTCCCCTTCTGCTCCATCTCTTTGCTTTTGCCAGCATCAGGTTCATTTATTTATCTTATAAATCCTTACAAAGTCAATTATCATACATGCAAATGAAGAATCAGATTAATAGGTGAAAAACCATATAAAACACATAAATCAGTTATACTAAACCAAGGTACACTTCTAGATACAGTGCCTGTGCTGTATTACAATAACTTTTTTCTCTCTCTCTCTCTTCCCATTATGTCTTTTATATTTTATTTATATATTGAGTTTCTCACATAAGTGAAGCCATATGTTATTGAAGCGTATGTGCTTGATTTACTTCACTTAACGTGATGGTCTTAAAGTGTATCCATTTCCCCACAAATGACTCGAGTTTGATTTTAGTTTATTGCACTGTGTGAGATATGGGTCTAGGTCCAATCTTTGGCATGTTGAGAGCCAGTTTTCCCAGAACCATTTGTTAAAGAGGTTCTTTCCTCCAGCAAAAGGATTTGGCCCCTTTGTCAAAGATAAGGCGGCTGAGTGTGCTCAGTAAATGTTGGCTGATATTATAGGTGCTCAATGTGCTCCTTGTGACCCAAAGGAAAGAACCAAAATGGATGGAGCTACTCTCTGGGAGATTTCAACTCCAGAAAGAGCTGCCCACGGAGGAGAATGTAAAGGGTAGGTCTCCTCTCTAGTGGTTTTTAAACCCAAAATGGACAGTAGCCAGTGCAAGTTCCAAAGAGGCAACCAACCAACAGGATGAATCATCCTGACCTCTCTGGCTTCTTTCTCCCCAGAGGCCTAACCAACACTTACTTATTGTCCCTCCTGAGCTTTAAGACATTCAAAGGTGAGCTCATTTCTCCCCGCTCCAATATGGAAAAACCAACCGTCACAGGCTGAATTTTGTCCCTTCCTATAAAACCATATATTTAAATTCTGGCCCCTGAATATGACTTTATTTGG